GGAAGCATCCTCGATCGCTAGGGTTTGTTCCACCTTGCTGGTTGCCTCTCAACTTGCTAGTTTTGTGTTTAATTACCTAAGTGTAGTTACAGGATGAGAGCTACGCTCCTGGTGTCCTATCTTCCCAGCTTTATGACAGAGTTCCCACTCTGTCATATAACGCTCTGAAATTACTGACGGTTTTTGCCTCCACCACCTTCTCACCTAACTTGTTCCAATTGTCTACCACTTTGTTTACAAAAGTGAATTTTCTTATATTTCTTCAGCAACTCTGTTTCGTTAGTTTAAATCTATAACCTCCTGTTCTTGAAGTTCCGGGTCTCGGGAATTCTTCCCTATCAATTTTATCGATTCCTGTTATTATTTTGTACATAGTGATCATATCGCCTCTTTCTTCTATCTTCTAGCTTTTTGCATATTTAATGCCTCTAACCTCCCCTCGTAGCTCTTGTCCTTCAATTCTGGGAACCACTTAGTGGCATGTCTTTGTACCTTTTCCAGTTTGTTGATGTGCTTCTTAAGGTATGGGCACCATACAACTGCTGCATATTCCAGCTTTGGTCTAACAAATGTCATGAACAATTTCTTTAGTATTTCTCCATCCATGTATTTAAAAGCAATACTGAAGTTAGAAAGTGTAGCATAGGCTCCACCGCACAATGTTCTTAATGTGGTCCTCAGGTGACAGTTTTCTATTTAGAACCACCCCTAGATCCCTTTCTTTGTCAAACTTGTTTAAAGATTTCTCACATAATTTATAGGTTGTGTGGGTCTATGTTCTCCAATTCTACATTCCATAATATAGCATTTATTCACATTAAATTCCATTTGCCAAGTGGTGCTCCATATACTTACTTTATCCAGGTCTTCTTGAAGGGAATAACAATCATCTAGGTTTCTTATCTTCCCTATTATGGTAGCATCATCAGCAAACATGTTCATTTAATTCTGTGTTCCAACTGGTAGATCGTTTATGTCGACTATGAACTGGTCTGCCTACCCCTATCACTTTGTAGGAAAAAAGAATTGATTTCTTCTTCATTCCTGCTCTTATCTAGACATTTTGTCTCAACGAGGTTCAGTTTTAGCTTCTCAAAGTCTTCTTATAAAAGATCTCGTCTTAACGACCATACTTTCCTTTCCTCATCACTTTGTAGTTTTCTAGCATTCCTTAGTACTACTACCATCTGTTTGGCACCGTGTAGGGTGATCCTCAAAGGCCGATCTTTCCCTTTTACGTACTTTCCAATCCTCCTGTAGTCGCAGCCATTCTCAATGGTAGTAAGACCTTTTCATGAGGCCAACAATTTTATCTACTACTTTCTCTTCTTCTACAGCTCTCTCTGACCTAGATGTTATCTCCTTTTCTTTGCAACCAAAATTTATCGGGGACTTACAGTACTTCAATCAACTGTGTTTTGCACCAACTTCGGGTTAGATGCCAGTTCCTTTCTCACTTCCAGCCTAATGTTAGTTTTTCATGGTTGCTGCAGTGTTTGGCTTCCTTTACTGCTTCTTCTATTTTGTCCTTCTCCTTGGCCACTTGTGCATAGGTGAGTTGCATATCTTTCTTGCACTGTTCTATTTCCTGTGTAACTTCCTCAATCTGTACTGACAAAAGCTGTTTTTCCTGTTGAATTTTCTTACCTAACTTATCGTAGTCATTTATGTTTAACCCCTTAACTGCACGGCTTCCAAATATGGGACCTCCCCACTGCGCAGGTAATAAATTCTCTGGAAAAAATTCTTTTTTGTTTTGAAAGTGTCAAAAACCCTTCCCTGAGTAAGGATATGGTAACAAAAGGTCGAAATTGAACTTACTTTGGCTGCTATGGGGTCCATAAGTTCGCATGTGACGTCATTATTTCCTGGTCGCCCGTGGCTTTCGTTCCCGGGGCCAGTAGTGTACATGGCTCAAGATGCGCGAGTTGCCACGAATATATTTTTGTTCATTTTTTGCGCACAGTTCCAAATATATTTTGTTTGTTTTTATGTGCCAATTCTATGTACAATGAACACGTACACTATATTATGACAGTAGAACATGCATACTGTCCGAAGACACTGTGTTACATGCATGATACATTTGTACACATATCCGGCACATATTTCCAATGTATCGTGCTAATTTGTGTATATATACAATCTATTTACACACTGTACAGTATCACACACTATATACACACACCATAAACACTCAGAACTCCGCGAGTGTGAGCTGCCACACCCAGCCAGTTCTCCCTTACTCCACCAACATCTTACTCGCCAACATTGCTCCTCCCACCATACTGTTATTTTTTTTTATTACACTATTTACACATGTTATGTATACCTATCTACATGTTTTATTTACCAGAACTATGCAAGTCAGCCGGTATTGTGTCCAAACAGTACAGTGGCCACCATACACTGCATGAGAAATCACATGGCAGACAGCAGATGACGCTACTGTCTACTGTTAGTACTAATGGTGTGCTGTTTGTACACTATATATAAACATTGTATATACCCATGTACATATGTGTTCACCATTGCAAACCATTAAGCTAGTATGGTGAGTGAAACAAGAGTGGCTGCCACACACAGTGAGTCTACCTCGATTCTCTCCCTCTCTCCCGCACCAAAATTCCTCCTCCCACAATACTACGCATGTATGTACATGGGTACATACACACATTGTATATACCCATGCACATGTGTGTTCACCATAGCGAACCACTAAGTTAGTATGGTGAGCAAAACAAGAGTGGCTGCTACACACAGTGAGGCTACCTCAATTTTCTCCCTCCCTCCCGCACAAAAATTCCTCCTCCCACAATACTACACACAGCGCTAATTATCACCACAATCCTGCTATTATCAAAATCATGGTCATTAATTCCTGTAAATAAATAATTGACCACAAGTTTATTTTGTAAAGGAACCTAAGAAGTCGTTTGAAGAATCCTAGATGAACGAAATAATGCTGTGGTGCTGTGGCTAGCGCTGTGAACATCATGAACAGCATTGAATCACTGATATTTGAACATTGTACACAGTCATTATCACACTCTGGCTCTTCTGTAATACTATCATGGCTAAATAATACAAGTTATATATATTGACATTATTAGGCGATGCTGTGGTCACAAGCTGAACAGCATTGCTGCGAGCTCATGCTGCATGCGCCAGCCTTGATTGCTCACTAGATACTGAGGCTCTCACACCCAGAAATGTGGCCCACGATTTTTTTTAAGGATGGCGTCTGTTTATGAGAGCCCAGAGGAAGCTGATGTGAACCCCATGTAGCCAAGGGAGTTTTGAATGGAACGCTAAAAATATAAATACCCGGAGGCGCGTTGCGCACCCCCCGTCGAAGGCCTGCAGGTGTGTTGCGCGGTTGAGGGGTTAAATTTGCTTTAAGTTCTTCCAAAGCTATTTTTAAAAGTTTATTTTTCTCTTCGATGACTTTGCAATTTGTTTCCAATTGATTCTTGTCCTTGCATAAGTCTTTCACTAACCCCTCAAGACCTGATTCTTTGCTACTCAAGTGCTCATTACTTTCTTTCAATTTGCTGATTATTTCTTCATGATAGTTCACTATAATATAAAATTTTGCCAATTTGTTGTGTGGACTGCTTATATCAGTGCTCTATTCATTAAAACCCCAAAAATCTAGTTCTGTTTTGTTTTCCTTCTTGCTGGCGGCCATCTTGAATGTTGGTGTCCGCTCTGTGAACACTAGGGCAACTTTTTCTCAAACAATTTTTCACTTCACTTGGCACATTCATGTTATCTCACCTATTTTTACAAAGCACTACAACTTTGTTTCTTGGGACACCACTTACTATCATCAACCTGTACTACAATACTTAGGAATTGTGAAAGTCTCCGTGGTGTAGTGGTAAGACACTCGCCTGGCATTCCGCGAGCGCTATGTCATGGGTTCGTATCCTGGCCGGGGAGGATTTACTGGGCGCAATTCCTTAACTGTAGCCTCTGTTTAACGCAACAGTAAAATGTGTACTTGGATGAAAAAACGATTCTTCGTGGCAGGGGATCGTATTCCAGGGACCTGCCCGAAACGCTACGTGTACTAGTGGCTGTACAAGAATGTAACAACTCTTGTATATATATCTAAAAAAAAAAAATATCCTGGAGCTCCTCTGATGCAGGTGTTATCACTAGGGGTGTCACCTTTTTTACGGTGTGTGTGTGTGTACTTCCCAGATGTGTATCCCTGACTAATGGGTGTCCTGTTCTGCTGAAGGGTGTCCTCACTTCTGATGAGTGCATTCCAGTTCTTCGCAAGTTATTCAGGTTGTTTTCTGTCCAGAAATGATCCCATTCTGCCCTTTGTATTCATCTTTCTTGTTTCTTCTCTGTCTTTAGACAGATTTCTCTGTGAGACTCCATTGAGAGGAAGCTACTGAGGGGGATGCTCTGTCTCTTTCCTCATACCTGGGGTTGGTTGTTGGGACTGGCTTGAAAAGTGATCAGTGGGAGCTTGATGGGACTGGAAGTAGATTGTAGCACTCGACCACCTGTCACCTGGTTATATTCGAGCGGTTACCACCAGGTTGCAGTCAACTGGCTGCCATCTGGTTGTGGTTGACCAGCTGCCACCTGGTGGAGAAGGGAGGAGGGTGCAGATACCATTATATCTTATTCTGAACTGGTTAATTTTTTGTTAGATGGAAGTTTGGATATTTTGTGGGAATTTGTTATAGAATTAGAATGATTGATACAGTATTAGCTTAAACTTTGATGCAAAAGAGCTTCCTGTTTCTTTGGGAAAGGGAGAAAGAGGAGTTGAAGTGCCATTGTTCTCAATAGGCAGTTAGTCCTCTTATGAATGCCTAGTTTTGTTGAAGTGTAAGCTGTGGTAGTTACTTAGGCAATTGCTGAAAATGACATATCACTACTCTCAGTGCTCTAATACTGTATTTAATATTTATTATTATATATTTGAAAAATAATTTAGTTAATACCAATATATATTTTCTTATTCCTGTTTTCAGTGAGGCTCTTGAAACGATGAGCTTGAACCTCTTTCCTCTCCAATCTTCCGAGTTTCCTGCTGGTGGTGCACGTGATCGGGAATATCATCAGGCTCTGAGTGAAATACTTATTGCTCTAGAATTATCCATGTCCTCGGTACTCTTACAGTTCATCGTAAAGTAAGTTGAATGATGATCATATTGTTTTTAGTTATTAGTAGAATGAGTCCTTTTATCTAAACTGATGCTTGGATATGATATGTTTTTATAAAGTTGAAAAAGATTAGTTTCATCTTAGTGTAGCACTTTTTAATTCTTTGTAAAAGTACATTGCATGCGGTGGGTTCGCATCTTGCTGGGTCAGTGTCTGATACCTGATGGTCCAGGTGGTTGGTCACCATTAATACCACTCTGTCATCATATCCCAGCTTTTTCCTTCTTTTACTGGCTTAGTGCTGTCTCTCTGTGTGTTACAATACCATGAGTGACGATTTTGCATTTTTATATATTAAATAATATCTGTACTCGGAATAGGAGAATAAAATTGTCTTGACGAGTTGTTGTTTACAAAATAATGAAGCTTGGCTTAAACCAAAAGGGAGAAAGTGAGTGATAAGCAGTGAGAAAGGATCAGCAGTACACTTATAACACAAATGAATTATAAAATTGCATGAAATCTACAAATGTGGGCTGGCTGATTGGCTGGCTGGTTAGTTGCATGGTGGCCTGTCGTGCTTCTTGGCTTTCGTGCTGGCTGGCTTCCTTGCTGGCTGGCTGATTGGCTGGCTGGTTAGTTGCATGGTGGCCTGTCGTGCTTCTTGGCTCTCTTGCTGGCTGGCATGCTTGCTGGCTGTGTAATTACTAAAGTATAGTGACAGGGCAAGAGCTATGCTTGTGATGTCTCATCTTCCCAGTACTTTGTCATATGACGCTTTGAAACTACAATACTGGTGGTTTTGACATCCATAACCTTCTCAATCGTTCCATTTCTCTACCACTCTGCAAAATTGAACTTTCCTATGTTTTTTTGGCAACTTTGTTTCCTTAACTTGAGTCTATGACCTGTTGACGGTGTTACCTGGTAGGATGCTTGCTGCATGAGTTTATGCTCGTTTAATTAATATGCAAAATGAATCTTTATCTTTATAATTGTAATACATATTATTGAACTGAATTTGCTAGAAAATGTTTAGTGCTTATTGCTTTACAACACTGCTTTTGGTACCTATCAGTGGACACAATGGCCCTGAGTTGCTTTTGGCACCTATCAGTGGACACAATGGCCCTGAGTTGGTTGACTGCCACACTTCTAGCCAGCCTGGCCTGCCTTGCTGCCTGTTTGCCTTACTTGTCCTGCCAACCTGCCTGTTTGCCTTACTTGTCCTGCCAACCTGCCTGTTTGCCTTACTTGTCCTGCCAACCTGCCTGTTTGCCTTACTTGTCCTGCCAACCTGCCTGTTTGCCTTACTTGTCCTGCCAACCTGCCTGTTTGCCTTACTTGTCCTGCCAACCTGCCTGTTTGCCTTACTTGTCCTGCCAACTTGCCTGTTTGCCTTACTTGTCCTGCCAACCTGCCTGTTTGCCTTACTTGTCCTGCCAACCTGCCTGTTTGCCTTACTTGTCCTGCCAACCTGCCTGTTTGCCTTACTTGTCCTGCCTACCTGCCTAGTTTGCCTTGTCCTGCCAACCTGCCTGTTTGCCTTACTTGTCCTGCCTACCTGCCTGTTTGCCTTACTTGTCCTGCCAACCTGCCTGTTTGCCTTACTTGTCCTGCCAACCTGCCTGTTTGCCTTACTTGTCCTGCCAACCTGCCTGTTTGCCTTACTTGTCCTGCCAACCTGCCTGTTTGCCTTACTTGTCCTGCCTACCTGCCTGTTTGCCTTACTTGTCCTGCCAACCTGCCTGTTTGCCTTACTTGTCCTGCCTACCTGCCTGTTTGCCTTACTTGTCCTGCCAACCTGCCTGTTTGCCTTACTTGTCCTGCCAACCTGCCTGTTTGCCTTACTTGTCCTGCCAACCTGCCTGTTTTGCCTTACTTGTCCTGCCAACCTGCCTGTTTGCCTTACTTGTCCTGCCAACCTGCCTGTTTGCCTTACTTGTCCTGCCAACCTGCCTGTTTGCCTTACTTGTCCTGCCAACCTGCCTGTTTGCCTTACTTGTCCTGCCAACCTGCCTGTTTGCCTTACTTGTCCTGCCTACCTGCCTAGTTTGCCTTACTTGTCCTGCCAACCTACCTTCTCTACCTTCATATCTGTATGTCCTCCACCCTTGCTATCCCACCTACCTACCTGTTGAAGATTCCTGGGATTAATGTTCCTGTGGCCAGTCTTTGACCAGGTTTCCTGGTTGCTGGTCTGATCCTTCAGGCTGTTTGATGTGGCTGCTCGCAGCCTGATGTAAAAGTCACAGCCTAAGTTACATACTGTGATTAACAAATTGAAAATAAATCTTGGTTACAAGATTGCCAAATTATGTGAGATTGAATTAGTTTAGCTGTCACAGTTTAGTTTAGCTGTCACAGTAGCGTAGTGAAGCTGCTACTTGGGTGTACTAACCTTAATGGTCCAGTTTCCACAATAAACATACATCCAGGTAGAGTTAGGTTAATGTCTACAGTTAACACCACTACCAGCAACCTATAGAGAGTCCCATAAAGCAATTTGATTTCATGAAAGTAATATCTGTAGAGGTGAGGTACTGATTCATATACTTAATTCTGATCTAATCCAATTAATTAGCCAACAATTAATAATCATAAATTATTTATTGACAGTAAGGGATTGAATTAGGCTGCATATCATTAAAGGAAATCTCCGAGTGTTAATTAGTCCCCAAACAGAGATGCTAGCCATTCAAAAGGCTTTAGAACATGCTCTTGCTGAACACCGACAACATGTTATCATACATACAGATTCGAGAACTGCCATTGAAACCTTGCAACAAGAACACATATGTGATAACATCCATCTGATCACAAACATCATATCATTAATGCAAACACTCAAAACGACAAGGCCAACAGGTACTTATCAACTGGGTGCCAAGTCATGTGGGAATAATTGGAAATGACATTGCAAACGAAGCTGCAAAACTTGCAACTAAGAGAAGAAATGTAGACATTTACATACCACAGAGTCTATCACAGGTTAAGAAAGTAATTAGAAACAGAGCAATGCAAAACATTTACAGTGACCACAACGCAGCAGTTGCAACATCAGGCCTGTGGTGTAGTGGTTAAGACGCCGGCCTGGCGTTTCACGAGCGCTTTGTCCTGGGTTCGTATCCTGGCCGGCAAGGATTTACTGGGTGCATATCCTTAACTGTAGTCTCTGTTTAACTCAACAGTAAAATGGGTACCTGGTTGTTAAGCGATTTTTTGCGGGGTCATATTCCAGGAAACATAGGATGAAGGACTTGCTCAAAATGCTACGGGTACTAGTGGCTGTACAAGAATGTAAGAACCTGTGCATTCCCCGAACTTACTGCTGGACCTCAATCTTACGTTTATTCCAACTATTCGTTTGCTGTCCGGTCCAAGCGGCGTCTCAACTCATGAGAGGCCTATGTAGTTTCACAGCCAACCACTGCACCGCCGCGGCGCGACCGCGACACCTGCTCGACAACCCAGTATTATTTTATGGCTGCCCGCCACTACTGCTAAGTGATATATTGAAGGCAAAAAATAGGATTTCTGAGGAGAGCCACTTCAACTCCCCAGAGCTATACCGGGATGATGTGTATATATTAGACCGTGGCAACAGTCAATCGAAGGAGTTTTAGGCCTACCGGGGACCAGAACCAGAACCTGGCCCCTTCAAGAGAGGCACAAGGATCAATGGCCTAAAGACACCGCCGTGTAATTTGAAGCAGTCTTTGTCTGCCATCTACAGGTCAGGCACCCAGAAAGGTAGGAATTCCAAAACAAACTACTGCTGATCAAAGATTTGCAAACCGAAATCCGAACTAACAACAAAACTCCCCAATCAAAACCAAGGAAACAAGTATGACGTCACCACAAACGCAGTGCATCTGTCTGTGCAACTCCCCCCTCCTCCTTGGGAAGGGGACTGGGGGGGTCCTAGACCTCCACGCCGGCAACTTTCCTCAGTTTATAGGCTGTTTTGAGGGCGAATGGTTGATCGACTCTGGCTCCATCCTTTGAGCAGTGCTGCAGTGCGGTGGTATTGTTCAGTTTTGGTATCGTGAGATCCAGGAGTAACACAAGAGTTCTGGGGCTCCATGCACCTAGGGCCTCCTTGCCTAGGTGCCTTGTAAGTACTTCCCTTGCGGCTTCAGGGTTAATTTCCTGAGCCGTTTGGGAACTACCTCCGTGTGGTTCTGTTGCTGCTCGGTGATTGCCCGCCCTTGGGGCTCAGCTGGGGTGGTTCTTACTCCTGTTTGCCCTTGGATAGGAGGTAGTTTTGTCACTAGCATGGGCGTGAGGTACTGTGCAGCTGTCTGATATATGCATAGCGACCGGTTCTGTTCACTTGGAGACGTTGTGATGTTGCGGGGTTTTTGTTTTGTTTTTGTTTTGTTTTGCCTGGCAGGTGTCTGCCTGGTGTGGCAGTAGGACCACTTGTATGATTTTGGTGGCCCTCCACTAAGTCCCTGTGCTTGCACACATTGGATGGGTTCAGATTATAGTTTGTTTGCTTGGTAGGTCTGGGATAACCGGTTAGCAGTACCTCGCCTGGGCTTCTCTTAGCAGTCAGCTTAAGGTCCCTCGAAACCTCTATTGGGGCTCTGTGATCCAATGGAAGAGACCTCAGAGTCCCACCTCGCCTTGTGCGAGTTTGAAGGTTGCTCTGTCCTCTGGACTGAGGGTGACACTCACCGTCTTTGCCTTCACCATGTTGCTTGTTGGGTCAATGACACCTTTGACCCGGAGTCCTGCGAGTGGTGTTCCTTGATTGTACTCCAATTCACCCAGTCCAATGAGATTGATATTCGGGTGCAAGCAGCTTCGGCTTTGCATGCACCGTTAAGGTTTCTGTAACGCGCAAGGTTGCTTACTTTACTGGATGCCCCACAGCTGCAACGCTTTGGTTATAGTGACATGGACTTGGAGGTGTTAGTCTCCTCAACTTTGGTTTCATCTGCACCCCCTAGTTATGTTTTTATTAAGGCCTGTCGGCCGTCTATCACTCCATCATAGGAGGACGTAATGTATGGGGGGT